AAAAATTTTTTTTTTTTTTTTTTTTTTTTTTTTTAATAGGGAATGAATGAATTCATCTTAAAGGCCCAATTCAGTTCAGAGTTTAAAAAAATAATCGGGAAAGTAGCTATGATTTTCAAGATCTCTTAAACTGGGAGTCACTTCTCCTCTTTGCAGATAAGGTAGTCTCGTGATGAGGGATGGCATGCAAGTTGTCCCTGCTCCCACTCCACACTGATGGCAGGCATCGCCAATAAATTAGTTCTCTCTCCTCAGAATTTGGATGCAGCTTCAGCATCGTCCTCAACAATTCACTCCGGGAAACCACTACTAAATGATCAGAGTTGGCAGTTGCGATAAAAACTGTCTCATCCCTACCATATGTGAATTCTTCTCTTCTCCTGTATTAAAGCTCTGGCCATTTTGAAGTATTTAATAATTTATCTCCTCCTGGATTCTGCCTGACCTCCCTCTACCACCTTTAACAAATTTCTAATTTTGTGCTCTCAGTTATGACAGAAGCACCAACTTGTGGATGACTGTCACATGATGATGTCATACACTGGTCCAGATGAACTTTTCTTTTTGTCATAATTGCAGATTTTCCTACGCTCACTCTGGTAGCAGTTAGCTTTCCCTTGGAAATCATGCAAAACCAAAGCTTTGTAACCGAGTTCGTCCTCTTGGGGCTTTCACAGAATCCAAGTGTTCAGAAAATGGTATTTGTTATATTTTTGTTCAGCTACCTTGCGACTGTTGGGGGCAACTTGCTCATCGTGGTGACCATCGGCAGTAGCCCAGCGCTCCTGGGCTCCCCCATGTACTTCTTCTTGGCTTTCCTGTCTCTCCTGGATGCCTGCTTCTCCACCGTCATCGCCCCGAAGATGATTGCGGACTCTCTCTCTGAGAGGAAGACCATCTCCTTTGAAGGCTGCATGGCCCAGCTCTTCGCTGAACACTTCTTTGCTGGGGTGGAGGTGATTGTCCTTATAGCCATGGCCTATGACCGCTACGTGGCCATCTGCAAGCCCTTGCATTACTCTTCTGTCATGAACTGGAGGCTCTGCGGCATTCTGACGGGGGTGGCCTGGGCGGGGGGCTTTCTGCATTCCATGATACAAATTCTCTTTACTTTCCAGCTGCCCTTCTGTGGCCCCAATGTCATCGATCATTTCATGTGTGACTTGTACCCATTGCTGGAGCTGGCCTGCACGGACACTCACGTCTTCGGCCTTTTGGTGGTGGCCAACAGTGGCTTTATCTGCATCATCATCTTCTCTTTGCTGCTCGTGTCCTACGGTGTCATCTTGTTCTCCCTGAGAACGCACAGCGCCGCGGGGCAGCGGAAGGCTCTCTCCACCTGCGGCTCTCACATCGCCGTTGTGGTTCTGTTCTTCGTCCCGTGCATTTTCGTGTATGCCCGGCCGCCGTCTGCCTTGTCCTTGGACAAAGTGGTGGCGATCTTTTACACCGTCCTAACGCCCTTGCTCAATCCCGTGATTTACGCCTTCAGGAATCAAGAAGTGAAGAATGCCATGAGGAACGTGTGGAACAGAGGAGCGGGGCTTTGTAATGAAAGACAGGACTGACCTGATGGAATCTGTGCTCGGTGTGTTTAAAGGACACGATGGAGCTGCTGAGAGAAGTTCCAGCAGTGAAGGATTGGAGTGGGCCGGGTCCCGAAGTCTTCCCCGGCGTCAGCACTCTCAAAGCACCTCTACCAGCCGAGGGGCCAACAGGCTGTACATGGCATACAGGCCAGCTTGGCAGAAGTCCCTGTCTTGGGGGACCCTCGCTTGAAGAGATTCTGGACAGAGTTTAAGAGGGGGCGGTGCTTTCTCCACACCTGGGTTTTCAGACCCTTGGGAACCTTGCTCATGGCCCACAGCTGCACCCCCTTCTCTGGTTTTGGGGCTCTGATATTGCTGCCGGTCGTGGAGAAAGAAGCTGAATTTTGTGATGAAATCTTGGATCAAACTATCCTCCCTAATTTATGTATTTTTTGCTCTTCTCCCTTCTCTGTTCTTTCTGTACCCTATCCCCTGACTCTTCTTTCTTTGGACCTGCTCACTCACTCTCCTCTCTCCTGCTCTCACTTTAGTGTCACTCTCTACCCTTTCCTCTCTCTATTATTCATTTAGGTATTTATTCCCTGCTTTGATATTTGCCTCACCATGCAGTTTACAGGCTTGATTTTGGAGTCGGAACAGAAAACGAAGGCACCACTTGGCATCCTCTTAGGACGGCTCAGGATTTGTCTTTTCTAGGATGCAATATATATCATGGGGGTTTGATGTTTTATGTGACATGGATGGCAAATGCTAGACAGAGAGGCTAACTAGTAGCACCCCACTCTAGTATTAGCCTAAATGTGCTTGGAAAAACTTTCTTTATTACAGGTCAAACTTTGTACATTAAAAGAACAAGGCAAACAGCCATATTTACTTGCAAACTAATGTATAGCTCAAATGAAATAACAAAAATGGAAATTGTTTGAATAGTAAGATTGTACAACAAGATTAATATATAATCTAGGATTGTGTTATTCAATTAAATACCTATTTAATAATAACACAATAATATAGGCAAATAGGAGATAGAGGCAGATGTTTATCTGGGAAAAAAGGGAAGTCTTCTAGTGTCAAATATATATGAACTGTTTTAAATTTCAACAGGTAAAAGTAAGAATTAAAGAAGGGAAAATGGTTTTCTTCACTACTGTGATGTCTCCCCCACATCAGAGAGTTAGGACAGTCCAGGGGTGTTAGGAAATAATGATTGAGTCAATGATCAAACTCTCAGGTGGTGCTGATCTAACCTAATGCATACATCTTGTCAAGAGTTGCTTTCTTGTCTTCTCATGTTACCAAATCTTCTCTTTGCTTATTCAAAATAAAACAAGATGGAATGACATGACCTGGCTTTCATGGTTGTCCAATATCTGTCCATAATTTTATCTCTTACAACTTTTTGTTTCAATCCCATTGAAGGAGCTTCACACAGGTTGCTTTCTGTGTCTTCATTATTTCTCCTGCAGATATATACATGGTTACCTCCTCACATCCTTTGATTATTAAAATGTGTCTTCTCAATAATGAGTTTTCTGACTAACTCACAGAAGTGCGATGTTTTACGTTACATGGATGGTGAATGCCCTCCTCCATCCACTACCATTCTGTAGCTCCTTCCATCTCCGATTATTTTTTCTCCTTAGCACTTACCATTCTCTAACATGTCATAGAGTTTAGTTATTCATTTTGTGGTTTTTTTTTTGGTATATATACTAGAATACAGTTTATACAAGGGTAGGGATATATGAAAAGATTTACCGTTAGACCCCCAGTACCTAGAATAACATCTGGCCCATAGTATATGGGCAGGAAATATTTGTTGAATAAATAAATAAATGAATAAATAAATAAATAAGTAAATAATAAAAATACATAAATGAACGTCTTCTCCTGAGTGAGATTTAATAATGTGTGGCCCAAAGTGCGCTTATCATGAACACCTAGAAAGCCAAATATAATAGAGAAGTCACCTATATGAGGTACTGAGACAACCTATGCTGAAAGGGTTGAGACTCCAAGAGAAGACCTTCCTTAGGTCGAATTCTGTTACTGCTTTTACCCCAGAGAATTAGTTGAATCTGGGCATAGACTGGAAGCTGGGAATCTGGGCTTCCTCAGGTTGGGGGATTACTGGAGTGAGGGCAGGGACAGCAGCAGATCTTTCGGAGGAGATTTAGAGCCTCAGTCATGCAGTATTTTTTCCCCTTAGAATGTTTTTCCAACCCTAGGGATTGATAACATTTTCTAGAACAGGAAACTGGGAGAAGAGACTTGACTAAAGCCACAGAAACAAATGATGGAGCTAGAATTCAATTATGTCCCATCTGTTTGCACCAGCACCTGGGCTCAGAGCTTTGTTGGCCATTAGAAAAGATTTAACTTAAAGGGCAGGGTCTTTGGTAACTTTTGTAGACTATGCCTCGAGGTGACTTAGAAGGCGTGGTTTCCCCCTGGAGCAGGCTGCGTGGGTGGAGCGCTTGGTAACTGCAATGGGAGGAGCCCTTGGGGCAGAGGAGGAGGGGAGGAGGGCTCTGAGCACAGACTCTGCCTGCTGACAGCCTTGTGTGGGATGAATTGGCCCGTGGTTTGCTGTGATCCTGGATTAACTGAGCCAAGTAGCTCCCTGAGCAAATCCCCAAATCTGTCAGGTTTGGGTGGGAAGGGTGGAGTCCTTGTCTCTCCGGAGGTTGGGCATTTGTGAACTTGATGAAATCCCTATAAATATGTGATGGAGGAAAAGGAATTCTTTAATTCATGTGCTCTGCAGGAAACTGTTTGTGGGGGAATAGAACTGGCTTTAGAGATGTTTCTACCACAGAATAGTGGGGATATTTTCTTTTTATCCTAGAAAGTTCTAAGAGTAGAAGTCAGAACTTTCTGCTTGTATTCCAGACCCTTCTGGACAGTCTAGTTCATGTTTTCTAGGAAGGGTTGGCCATCCGTGGAGTATGTCCCTTCCCCATAGATCCTGCAACAGAAAGCCAAGCAGGTGCATCTGAAGTACAATTTACATGTTGCAAACACATGGAACAGTAAATCAGAACTGGAAGAGTGAGCTCTCCAGTGGATATCCTTTTTCTTTTTTGTTTTTAAAAGACAAAGGTAAGTGTTCAAGCCACACTGGACTATTTCCTTTTTCTTGCCTCCCCCTCAGGACTGGATTTTAGGGCAGTCGTCATCATCCAGTCCTATCTCCTGAAAAACCTGGGGTTCCAGGAATATGTTCCCCACCATGGTGAGAAGATCCTGACTCTCTCCAGTTACTGTTATAGTCCATCTCTTAACTTAAAATTCTGAATTTTTCACTGGCCAATCTGTCCTTTAAGAATTTATACTATTCTCTCAGTAGATGATTTCTACTCTTCTAATACCAATTTCATAGAGCCTTAAATCATTAATGATTTTACCTACAATTATCTTAAAACTCACATTAAATTGTTAAGAACAGGAATATTTCCTCAATTTCTCCTAAGTCCTCCAGATAATTTTGATTCAGTATGTGAAATGAAATATAACTATAGAATTGTAGAAGAGAATAAATACTGTAATTTTAGACATATTTGGAAACAATAGACTAACTTAAAATGGGGGAAATTGACAGCTTGGACTATACAAAAAGGAAAAATTCATGGAAAAAGAGAAGTAATAACAGAGAAAAATTAAAATCATAATAGTGAATGTAGCAGAGGCTGAGACTTGCATAGTTTTTCTTCTGAGCCAGATCTTCTCACTCTATCTGCAGAGTAACCATGACTATTTCTAAAGTGGTCTTCCCAGCATCATGCAGCCAGAAAGTAGTGGAGCTGGGATTTGAACTCAGGCCATCCAATTTCAGAAACTGTACCCTTAACCAAGAAATAAGTGATTTTTGCTAGATTAATAGCTATACTAGATACATATCAAGATCACAACAAGTGAGCTGACAAAAGAGAAAACATTCTTCAAAGGAAAAGGTATTAAAATATTGAATATGGTAATAAAAATTTATATGAATATAATAAAAATGCAATTTTATTCCTATTAACTAAGTCAGGTAATAAAATAACATCATAGGATATGGGATAACCTTCTTTTGTTTTTGTTTTTTGCTTGTGCTCCAGCTTTTCTGCAAAATAATCAATATTGAATGCTGGCTATACTTGTATTTAGAAAGACATACAAATAAACACATGTGCAAATATACTTATAGAAATTTTCTGAAAAGACATACAAGAAATTAAAAGCTATTTCTGGAGAGGAGGATTATAGATTCAAATAATTTGGAGAGAGATTTTAATATTTTCTCCTTACATTCTTCTGCTTTGAATATTTTATCATGATCATGGATTATTCTACAGTAAAAATATAGTTATTGAAAAGATTTAATTCTAATTAATAGCAATGATTATAGCATCTTGAGCAGCAATATCATACTTGGGAAATGAATTATTCTAAAGTCGTTTGTAAAATTGTTATATATGAGTGACAACTGGAAGCAGCATAAATATCTGAATGGACAAACTTTATATATTACCACCCCATTAAATTGATAATTAAACTATGGAAAATATGATGGCTTGGTAAGAAATATTAAAACAATTTTAAGCCAACATCAAAACACAGAATCATCATATTATATGATGATTTCAATCACATAAACTATATATGCGATGAATAGGGACTTGAAATAGAAAAATCATAAAATTGTATATGGGATTATGGACTCTTTTCCAAATAATGTTTTTAGCAGAAGTATCCTGGGGAATTCAGGGTAAAGAGGGACACATAGGAGTAAAAACACTACTTAGATTACAGACATGTTAGAAATTTTATGTCGGGTCAAATTCATAGGCAGAGAGGCTCAGTATTCTAATGGGATAAGTTCAAGAGTATTGTACATACAGTAAAGAGTAGTTTCCCAAATTATGCCAGCTGCAGAGTATTGTCTAGAAATTTGTTATATCAAGACTCTCAGCGAAGCTGACATTTACCCAAGCGGCATCGGATTGTCAAAATAAAGCACATTTCACAGTGTCCTG